AGCATGGCAGAAACAAGACAATTCCTGCCTCATTGAAGAAAGGCAATGGGCGGAAAGAATAATCTTACCTGTAATACCAGCTGCCTGCCAGAGGTAGGGGAAGAAAAGAGTGTGAGAAGGGGAGAAAATGGAGGGAAGAAGACTAGAAGAAAAGAAAGAGAAGAAAAAGAGGAAGGAGGAGGAAAGAGGAAGGAAGAAGAAGAGGAGGAGGAAGAGGAGGAGGAAGAGGAGGAAGGGGAATCCTACCCGTGTTTTAAAATTGGTACCTACCATGGCTTACCTATCGCCTGTCAACAGCAGTCCTTTTGCTCTTCAGACTCCACCTTGAACTTGACCTGCATTGTCATGTTTCCCACTTACATTTGCATGTACTTTCTTCCAGGAAGTTATGAACATGTGCTCAAGAATATAGCACTATTGTCCAGTAAATATTACTAAAAATACCTACATGTAGGCAGGGTAGGCTCAGTTTCCCAGGCTTCTGCTTCATGGAGGGCAGAAGCCATTAGACACGTCTCCCAGAGCCAGGCAGCAGGTGTCCATGTGCTCACTGTCCTGAACTCTATTTCTCTTCCCATCAAAATTTGTGTTCCAATTAATCCTGAGGAGGACTTAGTATAAATAATCATGAGAGCATTCTATGAGATGGTAAAGTCTTTTCCACTCTTCTGAACTGATGGCAATCTCCCAGCCTGTGGAGCGGACTGTTGGGATTGGAGCACTCCCCCTTCCCAAGAGAGGGGACACCCAGCCTAGACTCACAATGCACATCACAGTACATCCCAGAGGCTGTGCTGAGGGTCGTGACACCTCACACACTGCTTCCTTCTTACAATTAGCCAAGGAACTGAGACCCCGTTTTCCACTTCCCCATAACGAACATCTATATCTTAAAAACAGAGTCAGATTCCAGAATGAGGAACAAAAGAAACTAGTCTCCAGACACAGATGGAGAGACCCACCCACCAGCTCAGCAGGCCAGTGGGAAGGTCCTCAGGCATGGGGCCACTGGAAATTTGGCCAAACAGAATTATTTTTCTATTTTCTGCTTTCAACTCCCATTCTCATGGGGATCCAAACAAGGCTTCTCTATCACTATGGAGATGCATTGGTACAAGGAGCTCACAATGCCAAAGCATTGAATGGAGGGCCAGGGAAACACTTCAGTGTTCTCCGGCTGATCAGTAAGACTCAGATCAAGATGTCATCAAAAGTAGCTGCCCAGGGTCCTGTCTTCCTGAAGGAGAAGCTCGACAAACCCCAGCATCCAAGACTGCATTCTCCAGAGTCCTAGCTGGGTAGCAAGCACCACCCTTGAACAGCCTGTTGCTCTTTCCCAGTCCCAGCCCAGGAAGCTGCAGCTGGGAGTTGAAAAAGCAGGGGTGTGGAGGGAGGAAGCATTAGGCTTGATTTCTTAAGGGCTATAATGTGTAAAGTACCTCAAAGTGTGTGGCTTTGACAACAGAGGTATATTGTCTGAAACTTCTAGAAGCCAGAACTCCCAGATTGAGGTTAGTCCCTCTGAGGACTGTGGGGGAGAATCTATTCTAGGCAGCTTCTTCAGCTTCTGGCAGGCTTTCTGGCAATCGTTGGCATTCCTAGTGTTGTACATCACTGCAACCTCAGCCTTCAACATTACATGGTGTTTTCTCTGTGTGTGCCTGTCTCTAGATTTCTCCTTTTTATGAAGATACTAGTCGTACTGGAGGGGGGGGTGTGCACGCATTAGTCATATTGGAGGGAGGCCCACCCTACTGTTGTATGATCTCATCATAAATAATTAGTTCTCCAATGGTCCCATTTCCAAAGAGGCTGCATCCTAAGTCCTGGGGTTAGGAATTCAATATTAAGGATTTGGTGAGACACCCTTATCTTGAAAGCAAGCAATTCAGGAAAAAGAAATGTCCCTCCAAAAACCCTGCTCTTTTTCAGGATTTTTCCTCAAACATGGTTAGCTGTTCACTAAACACATTATTGCCCCAAGAATCTAAAGCAATGGTTCTCAGTCTGTGGGATGAAACCCCTTTGAGGGTCAAATGACCATTTTATAGGGGTCATCTAAGACCATCAAAAATTCTTTAAGAAGCAATGAAAATAATTTCAGGATTGGGAGTCACCACAGCATGAACTGTACTGCAGGGCTGCCGCATCAGGAAGGTTAAGAGGCACTGATCTAAGGGTCCTGAATTCCAGATTGAGAGCCTTTCCTTCTATCCTTTACCCTGTTCTATTTCTCCTCTCTCCTAAGGTGTACAATTACCGATAGCTTCATTACTTGTATCTAGCAAAAGTGAATGGGAGAGAAAAATCAATAAACTATCAATATCTCTGAGATTCCGTCCTTCACAGTAAATATATGCACGTTTTCTTGGAGTACTGAAGAGGGAGATCGAGGCCAGAGACTCCTGGAGGACAGGGTACTTGACTTTCCAGATGTGTCTCGAAGGGACACAAGACTGGCAATCGGTCACTCCTGTTAGGAGGTATGAAGAGAAGAAGCAGATTTCTGAAAAAGACATTTATTTTAAAATTTGCACATAATCTTTGGATAATTTAGAGTTAACAGGTATGCTTTAAAAGTTTCTGACACAAACCCCGAACCAAGAGCAACGACAGATTTGATTGGCAGAAGGAATCAAGAGGCTCCTGCAACTTAGGATGCATAGATGGATACTGACATCAGCGTCCACATAGACAGAGGCTTTCCTGTAGCATTCTGTTACAGATTTTAAATTACCTGTTGCAAACACTAAACACCTCACCAGACTAACAGTGACACCCACATCCACTCCATAGTCCACTTTACTCAGGCATCCACATTTACAGAGCACAGAGAAAGTCTCACAGACATCAGAATCATAGTACACTTATTAATTTATTCCCCCACATTAATAAGAATTAAAAGCTAGAATCTACCCAGTGTAGTCTCCGTCCCTAATGTATCTCTTGCTGACGGAAGGAACGTCAGCTTCCTGGGCACTCTATCCGCAGTCCTGATACATTATAATGAGCCTGTGAGATCAGAACTTGAAGTGAGCTAGGAATTCCCTAGACCCATCCCACATAGCAGCCAAGCAGCCCAATGCTCTGTGCACTCTGAGGCACAGGCAGCAAGACAGGTAGGCTTCTGCATCCTGCAAATGATGCAGTTGCCTCACAACAGAAAGGATGCCCTCCCCCTCTCCACTGCCCTCCCTTGCAGCAAGGCCCAGCACAGGTGTGATCACTGAGAAGGTCCTCCATAAAGAAACAAGGAAGGACAGCAGGGTACCTACATCCTATGCAACGTGGACACAGCCCAGCCACATGCTTTCCAGTGGTCCTTATACAGCCCAGCCATGTTTTCTTGTGGTCCCCACACAGCCCTGTGAGGTAGGATTGTCACCCCCATTTTACAGATATGGAAACAAAGTGGCACAGTGAGGAAGTAGGGGTCAACCTGGAAACCCAGGGCTTTTTACTCTGGGCTTTCTATTGCCCACATAAGGCAAGGGGTCAGCAGTAAACAAGTTTCTGAGCTCTAAGACAGTGGGTCTGCAGCTCAGAACACTGAAGCCCTGTGAGCACACAGGCCAGCCTTGGGAATCCAGCAGGTTGTGTCTTAGTGGCCTTGGTTCAATAGCATTAATTTTGACCATAAGTCATTGAACCACTCCACATCAGGGGCTGGTTGGGCCTCTGTGGCTTCCCACCAGGTAGAGAAGTCTCAGAAAATCCTTGTGAGAGGATGCTTGCCAAACAGGGTGGGTGCTTCCTGCCTGGAGACCAATGTCACTCCCTTGCAAGGAGAGCAGGACAATCTGTGATCACACACCTCACCCCTTGTGAGAATGAGTTATGATTACAGTTCTAACCTAAGTCCCAGAAAACATATTCCCCATGCCCTGAGAGACCTTTCATGGGGGGCCCATAAGGTCAGCAAAAGTTGGGGTATTTGTCAAACAGAAAATGATTAAAAGCAATTTGGGAGGGAAGCCTGTTGTAAGGGAGAGTAATGATAGCAATTAGGAGAAGTTAGGGAGTAGACATTTAAAAAAATACAAGAGCCCTAGTCTATCTGACTAACCTGCTGTCTACTGTGGGGCAGCACTTGGTGTCAATGTGGGGTAGGGACTTCCTAACAAAAATACCTTGGGCCTGCATATTCTAACAGGTCATTCAGAATGTAACATCAGTGATAAAGGTGAAAATGAAAATAGATCTTTTGACACAGATAGTGTGTTCCTCTTCTTCCTCTAAGAGCTTCCCCAGGGCCTCAGCAATACAAGAACATGGTAGAGCTGGCCCCTCCTGGGAGTACAGGCAACAGGCTCTTAGAGAGGAGCCCAGTTCACTGATTACATGGAATGTTTACATTCTAGCTGCCTGTTGGGTGTCTCTCTCTTCCACTCAATTCTGATCAGGTTGGGGACAGATGGGAGGTTTTGGACCTTTCGTCTCCACAGGGAGTGGGAAGTGGGCTACCCAAGATCCTTTGCTCATAAGCACCCAGGATTAAGGATCAGCATAGCCAGACAGGGTGACACCAGCACTATGTCCCCAAGGGAGATAACTTTACCCTGGAGTAACTGAGTAGGCTTTCTCATCCTGTCTCAATTATTTGCTTCCCCTCCCTGAAACCACCCTGCATCTGTCAGAAATCATGATTTAAGAGATGTGAAAGATGTAAAATCAATACCTAAGGAGAGATTTCAAGCCACCAAGGATGCTCCTTTGTTAGGATGACATCATTTGGTTGGAAAAAAATAAAGTCTAGTTTTGGCAACCCTGGTGAGAAATCTGGATCTTTCCCCTACCCATGTGAAAGGAGAAGAGGATGCTCTCTAAGAGGAATCTGTATGGCAAGAATCTGGGCTCCCATACTCTGTGGCTGCAGGAAAGGCTGGGTCTGCCTCCTTGCCATCAGGCTCTGAAGGCCCCAGAACTCTTGCCAATGAAATTCCCTAGAGTCCAGGAAGCAGGCTGGGCCTATTGAATAAAAACACTCCTTCAAGCAGCGGTAACCAGGAGAGTAGCCATAAAATGACTTATGGAGAAAGATGAGGGTGCCTGGCTAAGAACACTGTGCTCAACAGCGAATGTTCCGGAAGCCAGACAGGGTGGCCTTCCCAAACAAATAAATGTCTTCATCTGTTCCTTCATTGAGATGCTTCACCATATTCTTCTCAAAGAGGAGCGGGTGGTAGGCACCCATCGTGCAGGCGCTGTCAAAGAACTTTTGGTGATAGTAGCACACGTCCGTCTTGCGCTTGGATGGGAGGAATTCATAAATATCCACCTGGTCACACAGCGTCATCATCATGATGATACCTGGAGAGGGGAGGAGAGGGGAGGCATGTCCAGTAACTACAAACAACCCAGATCTCTGCCCAGTAACTGCAGCTACTTAGCACCTTGAATTTGGTGAGCAGTCACCCAGAGTTCTATTTATTCTTATGATTCCCAGTCTGGGTTTTGCTGATAAGCCAAGGCCAGCAGACTGGTATATTTTATACCTTTGTACCTCCAACACCAAGGCCGGAGTCCCAGTCCATGATAGATAAACCTACCACCATGCTAGCGGATTAAAGGGCACGGTTAGTAAATTTATCAACGGAGTAAGCTATAGAAACCCAATGTGACTGAGACAATAAATCAAACAATGCTGTCATTTGTACTTGCACTTAGCACTTCCTGGCATTGCTTCACCCTGCCAAGGCCTCATGGGGAATAATGAAGACTGTCTCATAGAATACCTGTAGGACATAGTTCTGGGTACAGAAGATTTCTCCCCTTAGCTGGAATGAGACAAGAGGAGCCAAAGCATGGCGCACACTGGTGCTGTCCTGGGAGGCTGTGCGGTGAGACATAAGCCTATCCAGGTACAGGGGACTCATCTGACCACTCAGACTGGCTGAGTTGTCTTGTGTAAGGAAAAAAATGCTTCTATGTGCCTCAGGCTATTTATCTGTCCCAAGAAGGAAACCTATGTAAAGCTTTACTGTGTGGGCTATTGTTGGAGTTACATAAGATCTCAGTGGAAAGAGCCCTTTTCGGTAACTCTTAATACAAGGTATCTAAAATAGAGCAGTTTCCAACCGAGAGCTAAGCTACAGACTGTGGGAGAAACTTTGTTCCAGAAGAATCACACACTGGAAAAACACTTTTGCCTTCTGCTTGCTCCTAACTCAATGAGGGAGAAAGGCCTGACTGACTCAGGCACTACAGAAGCACACCTAGGAATGGCAGGGGGGAACACTTCTCAGGAAGGCCCAAGTGCACTGGTGAGGGGTGAGGAGGCAGTGTGGTTAGGAAGGAACAGGTATGGCAGGGGAAATGCAGACAGCAGCAGGGCACTGGGGCAACCAGAAGTGTATTCCTCAACATACCAACCACTGCTGCTCTAAAAGCTCCAGGAAAAACCCAGATTCACCTAACCTGACCGCTGAAGCAGAGGGTATAAAGGGGCTGACGAACTGCAAGGACCCCAGTTTCTTTTCATCCCTGTCTCTAGCAGAAAAACTAAGCCACTCATTTACTAAGGAAACATTTACCATACCAAATCTACAAGGATAGATAAGTTAAAGACAGCCGTCTAGTATGGGACGTAAGCGGATAAATTACACAGTGGTGAGTTCCTGGAATCATCTGGTTAAAGGTGTTCCACTCTAGGGGCCCATGAAAGGAGTGTCTATCCCTCTGCAGAGACTGCCTGTCCATTCATGGAAATGCCCCAGTGGTCCATCTCAAGAGAAAGGGAGGGAAGGATAGATGGGCATTAAGTTCTGAGGGACGTGGCAAGAGCTTGAGAGCCTTTGACCAGCATTCAGTGCCCTTAGCCCCAGCCCATCCCAGAAAGCTATCTGCTTTCCACTTCCTACACGGCCCCACATAGACAAGCTTGCCCAGTTTCTCTCACAGTTCTGACTAAAGCATCCACAGAGCCAGGAGACGTACGATTAATTTTTGTCTGTGTCAGGTTCTGAACATGACTCTGCAGATACCAATTCTATCCATATTTACATATGAAACCTTTTTTGTTCATTATAATTTCTGGCATTGAGATTTTTAAAGATGTTGCATTAAACCATCACTTGATTAATGAGCTTTGACATACTCTCTCAGTTGTAAGCCTAAGACAGACAAGGTTCTTGCTTACAATTGCTGCATCCAAGGTCCTATTCTCCTTCCTCCTCTTTAGGGGTGCCTCCCTTTATGATATAGCTACACGTCAAACCCTCCCTTCTCTCCTCACAGAAATCTCTCTGACCATCAGCTAGCTGGGGTCTTCTCTCTTACAGTAGGACGATAATCTCCTCATTATGGTACAAACTGAATGTGGCCTTGGATGCCTGATTAAATTCTCTCGGCAGACATCTTAAGAATAAAAATTACACCTTATTTGAGATAGGACTTAGTATACAAGTAGAAAAGTTTTTCTGGTGAATGAAAGAGACTGAAGAAGAAAGCCAGTCCTCTACAAAACAAACACAGGATTTCTTGACACACAGACTCACCCAGCATGCCTGAGGATGGAGGATTTGGCTGAATCAGATCTGGAGAGATTTCCTGAATGATGTCCCATAGTTCCCATGGCATCTGGGGCTTGAGGATGTAAAAAGGCTGGCTGGGGTGAAGTCTTCGGTAACTCTTATAGGTTTCGAAGAAATTGTAGTCTGGCTTCTGATACCACTGAAATAGAAGGAAGTGGTGTGCTCAGCAGAGAAACCTTATACAAACATTCTTGCCAGAGGATCAGGCTTGTCTTACAGAAGATCACAAACATCACCAAATCATAGCCCTTAGTAGGTAGTACAGTTGGGACCCGGAACATAATCTCTGATTATAGGTCTGTTGGAATGGTGATCTTGAAAACACTTCAGATTTCAGAGCCATCAAGTCTGAGATCAGTATCTTCTGAAAGGGTATCTCTGCACCATCAACATTGTCTTTTATCTCTTGTTTGTTTGTGTTTGCTTTTAAGCAATTCTCACCATTTGGCCAAGGCTGGCCTTCAGCTCCTGGTCTCAAGAGATCCCCCTGCCTCAGCTTCCCTAGTAGCAGGGACCATCACACCTAAGTACCCTCACTGTTGATGGAGAGGAAATTGGAGCACAAGTTGTATCTATGGACTCAGAGCTCTTCATCTGACTCAGGCAGGCTCGAGTTACAACTGACCAGAGGGAAGCTGTAGACTGGAGTGAGCTCAGGCACTGGTGACAGCCACAGCTAGGAGTCATCAGGAGCATTTAAGGACAAGCATACCAAGGTCAGTGCTTTCTGCGGCTTCCGTAAAGCCATTCTCCTTAGGCTCCTATAGCTCATGTCAAAAGATGCTATATATGCAACCTACATAGCATATATACTATGCAAAACTGAGCAGACACTTCCAGAAGGCCTGAGAATCCAGCAGTCCTGTGGCTCACATCTTCCCTAAAAGACTCAACATTGTAGATCTGTGCCATTGAGTTAGGAAACCAAGCACAGGTGACATCTGAAACATGGGAGCTCCTAGGCTTCCTTCTACTTCTTGAGAGTGTTACGAGAGAGAAATGAAAAGGGTTTTAGACACTGCAAGTGAAGAGCAGAAAATGCGAGTACATGACTGCTGGGGTAACAGTAATTACTGTCATTTCCTATTAAGGTTCATCAGGAATAAGTACAATGATGAACACCTATTTCAGAATACCTCTGACTCCATCTCCACCATGTCCAATACACACCATCGCTGGAATATGTACATGACCTTCCAGGGAAGGCATGCAAAGGCACTGGTTAGGATACGGGAATTCTGAGTGTGCTAGTCCCCATGGAATAGGCTGCCTAGAACTCAAGAACTTGAGTCAGGAATGGCTCAAGTCACATGTGACTTTAAAAACCTAGCAACAAGAGGAAATCTGAGGGCAGATGGAAGACTCACTTACCTTTGGAATATCTACATGATACACGGATGGGTCCCATACAACTAGGATTCCTTCAGTGTACAAACTGTCCTTAAGGAAGTGCTTTTCTGTGGTGACTAACTATGGTGAGAAAGAGAAAAGCTGTTAAGACGAGCATTTATGTGTAAATACATCATAACACCTGGTACATCATCAGGTTGGTGCCAGCTCAGGCCTAGAGCCCCATGAGTACCTAAGATAGTTGAGAAAAGAGCCATGCTAGAACTATGCTCATTACCAGCTGTCAGCCACTGATTAGAAAGGGTTTCTCAGATTGAGTCTAAAGGGCCACAGTGAAAATAGTACCGAACCCTGTCCTACAGCCATATTGTGATGGTTTGCATATTCTTGGCCCTAAGAGTGGCACTATTAGGAGGTGTAGCCTTGTTGGAATAGGTGTGTCACTGTGGGCATGGGCTTTAATATTCTCTTCCTAGATGTCTGGAAATCAGTATTCTGTTAGCAGTTTTCAGATGGAGATGTAGAACCCTCAGCTCCTCCTGCACCATGCCTTCCTGGATGCCGCCATGCTCCTGCCATAATAATGGACTAGACCTCTGAACCTATAAGCCAGCCCCAATTAAATGTTGTCCTTCATAAGAGTTGCCTTGGTCATGGTGTCTGTTCATAGCAGTAGAACCCTGACTAAGATACATATCTTGCGCAGGGGTAGAAAACAAAAACAAAACAACAACAAAACAAAAACCAATGGCCCACTTTCAAAGATGCCACTGGCTAGGGTCCAGTTACACATACACTGAGAATACTGGATCCCTGCTAGCTTCTTCCAGTCCAGCTACAGTCCCACCCCAAACTACTAATAGCCATGGTTGCCTAATCACCTTGGACATGGCAGGGTCATATGTTTGATAAGGTTTAAATAAACACAACGATACACCCACCCACTACTCATCTTTGGTAAGAAATAGACAAGCATAAGTGGCAGAGGGAAGGGTAATCCCCAGGTGGTACAGACATCCCCTCTTGATTACTCAGTCAGTGAGAAAAGGAAGGAAGAGACAGGCACTCTGTACTATAAAACTATTCCCTGAACTCAGTCAGTGTGCCCACTACTCTGGGCAGATGCCTGGTCTTGGAAAAAAAATCTAAAATAATAAGCTAGCTGTCTTGCTTTGGCTACTCTGGGTCTCCAATACTCATACTCTGAAGAGAGGGTCCTTAGGTCTCACAGGACGAGTCAGGAAACTGGGACTTCAAGTCATTATTAAATATAACTAAGGATCTATGGAAATCCTTTCAACCGTCCACAGAGTATAGTGTTTGGTCTGATTACATTGTGTCTCACAGGAGCCAATACAGACCATAGTTTCTCTGTCACCAAGACAAGATCAAGGTGCCTATGGCAGAGCACTGGAAGTCAGCAGCTCATGTGGAGGGACCAAGTATACTTTAAAAAGATGCACTTCGGAGTCCGGTTCCCACCGGGCCAAGGAGATGCTTATCTGTGACTTACTGAGACTGAGTCAGAGCCCCGATGCCCTATCCCGCCCTGGATGCGGATAAGCAATTAACCTGTCCAGCTGAGAGGTAAGTGTGCCAACCTTGATGGGATGTTTCTATAAAACACATAACTCTAAACTAAAAACTGTGTTTAGATTCAGGGAACTTATCCTAAGAAAGAACCTATATTCAAAGGAATACATGCATGGTATTGATGATTGAATTATATTTCAAAATAAGTGTGGCAGTGGAAGACAGAAGATGAGACTTAAATACAAAAGGACCCAGGTCCATTCTTGACTTTACCACTAATACCTACTCTGCTGTCCTCAAATCAATGATTTTAAATCTACCATGTGAGCCAGCCAGCGGCATACCACTCCTTTGCACCTTCCCAAAGAACTCAGCCTCCTGGTCCACAGATACTTGCCCAGCCATGGTCACTGCTGCTCTATTCACAAGAGCTAGGAAACTGAAACAATCCACATGTCCTTAAACTGATGAACAGATAATAGAAATGTTACTTATACACTATGGAATACTCTTCATCAGGAAAGAAAAATGAGACCGAAAACTTGACAGGCAAATGGATGGAACTAGAAAAGATCATATTGAGTGAGGTAACTCAGACCCAGAATGACAAATGGCACACGTTCTCCCTAATCGGAGGTTCCTAGCTCCATATCTTCAGATGTTACACCTGAGAGGCGTAATGTAAGTCTTTATTACAGAACACATTGTGAACTCCAAAAACAGAGCCCAGAGACCCCTTGAGCTAGCAGTGCCCTGAACACCCCTTCCCTGAGGACTAGCCTTCATAGTAACAGAAGGTGCCATGAAAGTTTCCAAAGGAAGGAAGCCACCAACAGTCCCGGCTGTGATACCCATGAATCACATCAACTACCAGCATGGTGCAATAACCCTACAAGTACAGTAGTGGCACACAGACCTGAGCGGTAACAGACAGCTCTCAAATTGGAATTAAGACAAACTCAACAAGAGGGATGCCATGCATGGTACTGGAGACTTAGCTAACTATTCAGTGCTGGTGGTGCAGTGGTCCTTGGAGGAGAATCTACAACCACATTTTACTAAACCGGCATAATCCCTAACAACAATCTAAACATTTGTCCTTATCCCCTCAGATAAGGGTAGTCCTCACCCCTCACTGAGGAAACATCTCCTTGTAACAGATGGAGATCATTATAGAAAACCACAACCAATCAAAATATAGAGCTGTAGAGCCCAGTCCCAGTGGATACATCTACAAAGCACCACCACACCCAAGGCTCAGGGAACATTGCAAAAGAGGGAGCAGAAAGATTCTAAGAGCCAGAGGGTCAGGGAGTTTGCTGTGAGACTGTCCCTCCTAGTAATGCCAGAAACTATACACGTGAAGTCTCATCAACGCGACTGACTGCCCAGACATGAGCTGAACAAGGATGACACCAACAAACATGCCCCCTGGACAGGAAAGCTCAGGAGGCCTCAACCCTACAGAAAGAACTACAGGTAGCCGAGAGAAGCTGGAGCAGGAAGGGTGGTCCTCCCCAGGGGACAGCACACCAATCAGGCTTCCAGTGCCAAGCCTAGAAAACACACACACAAGTAACATTACATGGACTCAACAGTATACTGAGGAATAAGTGTGTGTGTGTGTGTGTGTGTGTGTGTGTGTGTGTGTGTGCAAGCTCAATAACAATTAGAGAAAAAGATGTGGATTTAATTAAAACAGAGGAGGTGTACATGGGGAGGTTTAGAGGGAGGGAAGGGGAAAATGCTGTAATCAGACTGTAATCTCAAAAATAACAAACAAAAACCAGGAGCTGCTTTAAGAATCAAATCTGGGACATGAGTGAACAGGAAAGAAAAGTAGCCCCAAAGGCTTAAGAGTGAGGACAGCTACGTTTCTTTAACACACACACACATACACATATATATTCACACACACAGAGACATATATACATATATGTATTCACACACACACACACATATATACACACAGACATATATATACACATACATATATACACACACATAAACAGACACATATACACATATACGCACACATGTACATATATACACATACACACACACACACACACAGATCAACTAAAATATTCATCTTAAAGAATAGCCAGGACATGATGTTGCCCTTGTCAAAAGTGCATGATGCCCATGGCAAAAACAAAACTGAAAAGTAACTGAAAATGAGAAGAAGAAAATGACAATAATTCCTTCTTACCTCGGTCACTATTGGTAAGCCCGAGTCCTACATCCCAGCATCACTGCATCATAGCGTCCCTACAGTGCCTGACAATGCATGATCCATGTATGGGACAAAGCATGACAATGTCACAAACTCCCCTACCCTTCCATCACGTGTGCGCAGGAAGACTCCGAGAAGCCGGCTCCAGCTATGAGATACAGAATGGTAGGGTCCTGACCACATCCCTATCTCAGCAGAATGAGGATACCAGGTAACTGTACAGCATTATAATCATGTTCACGATGACTGATTTACAATGTCACCCCCTCTTAACACTGACCCCTCCAGCTGATCTTTCAGCATGTGAGGAAGAGGCTAGTAGCAGCCTCGTTTGGCTTCTGCAGACTTTCATAGCATCTGTGGCTTTACTGTCCTCAGAAACCCCTCAGGAGAAACAAAGGTTCTTTTTTATAATAAATGGCAACAATGTGCCATTGAATGATGCTCACTACAACCTGAGTGTTTTAAACATTAGCTCAAAAAATATTTACAATAGCCCTAAGAGGCATTAATATGCCCATTTCTAAAAAGATGTAATGAACTCAGAGATACGAAGGAACGTCCTTTCCCAAGTCACACAGCTTACTAGCCTATGAGTCAGACCATGAGTCTTCCATCCAGCTCGAGAGGTTAGACTGCTAATCAAAACACTAACGTCACTCACACCACACAAGGTCCAGTATCATGAGAACACTGATTGCCGCCTGAGGATAACACGTCACATCAGGAGATTCCAGGACTTGTTGGAGCACCATCTTATCAGTGAATAAGGAGATGTCCGGAGAGAAGGCGGAATGCCGTGAGAGGCTAAGTTTGAGGTAGAGACAGACAGGTTGAATGCTGATGGGCAGCCTCCCACCAGGTGTTCCTCCTGCTCCGGCAGGAACACGTGACACTCTTACAACTGTCAGGAATTTATATAAAGTGCATTCTCTTGCCCACATGGCAACCACTCATTCACCTGAGCTGCTGGAGATGAATGAAAAAGCATTCCAAGAGGCCAGAGAGAGGAGAGAAATGGAAGATCTGGGTAGAGGAGCAGAAAGCAGCCAGGGCTGGGATCTGCCAGAAAGAAAAGGGACAAGCTATCAAGCATCACGGTGCCCCTCCCACACCCCACAAACTGCAGGGTTCTGAACCCATCCACATCCGTTCCCATCAGGTGACATTCAAACATTACCTCAAAGAAAGAATCCCTGAGAACTTCAGGGGCGTGGGGGCGTGACAGTGTGAGTTCCGGCTCCACTTCTGCCATAGCTACCCCCCTGTGGTCTTGGTGACTTATTCCCCCATCTCTAAGTCTAAATGTCTTGTGTACACACACACACACACACACCCCACATTCTATGAG